TAATTACAGTTCAGGAAGAGAAGGACGAACGGTCTGGATCCAGAACTGAAGGAAGAATCCGTCTCTGTAGCGCCGCCCTGCAGGTAAAATCAAAACAGTTCAAGTCCAGTATGTGTGGGGTCTGCAGAGCTCCTAACTGCAAGCTGACCTCCTGACCTTTGACATGTACAGGTCCTGCATGGAGGGACGGTCAGCTCTGATGGTTCCCTTCAGTCTGGACCGGTCCGGTTCTGTTGACGACCCAAACCACACACAGGATGTCCGTAGCTGTTAGCTTCCAGCGCTAGCACAGTTAATTCATATGGAGTTACATCTGCAGTTTGACAGACAACAGACTGATGAGGCCTGGCTAAAAACTAATTACAACAATAAAGTGATAAGAGGACAGCAACTTCATTCTCACATTATTTCAGTGTTTTTCTCATTGTTATGACTTTATTCTCATCATTTTAAAATCATTCTTAGCCTGTGACTCTGTTGTCTCCAGTATTTTCAGACTGTAGTTATTCGGTGGTGGCTGTGACCTCTGACCCCTGTGAATACCAGGCGTTTACTGTGTTTCCTGCGAAGTGAAACATCAGGTCCAACTCAGACCTTAAACTGAGTTTGGTTATTTTTGGCATAAAGATTTCTGTTATTGTTATCAAAGAGGCAAATCTATAATTAATAAATTGATAAATGAACCGTTTTACTGTAGAGTTTTCCAGGTCGCAGTCGTTTACCACCAAGTTACATCATCAGTCAAGTTGATTTGTTCAGCACATTTCAGAAACAAGGCAGTTCAAAGTGCTCTACTTCATAAAAATACAAAGTTATCACACCATCATATAATCACCAGTTTGAAAACAAACATTACATTTTGTCAACTGCCATCATCAAAATCATCAGTGAGCATCAAATATGTCGATCGATATTCCATGTATTATGGTTTGACCAGCTGGGTCTGCAGCCCAGATTTAAAGGATCTCAGTGTTTCGACTGTTTTGCTGTTTTCTTGAAGTTTATTCCAGACTTGAGGTGCATAGAAGCTGAATGTCTCCATGTTTGGTTCTGGATACAGAGCAGACCAACATGAGCAAATATTTAATTTCTCTTAAAATGCAAACAGATATTTATTATATCTTGACAGTTTGTTCATCCTTTGTTTTACCATTTAGAGGACAGTCATGACCTTGATGTGTCCTGAAACGTGAAGGTCGTGATGTTCCAGGACACGCCATGGCCTGATGTGTTTTGATCTAAACTCTGGATTAGATCAAAACATAATCATGGGTTAGAATGGCCTAGTCAAAGTCCAGACCTAAATCCAATTGGGAATATGTGGCAAGATCTGAGTCAGTTTGAAGATGCTGGCTACGCCCCTTTTAGAGAGGATCATTGAGACGCTGTGGTGTTTGGTGATGTTGGAGGCGCCAGAGGAAGGTCGTTGGTTTGACCTTCAGAAGTAGGACAAAGTTTTGAAACTTTTTGTTTTCATGAGTTCCTGGTTCCTTCTGACGCAGCGATCAGCTGTTAGCCGGCGGCTGCCTGCTGCTTTACTTCCTGCTGCCTTCACTTCCTGCTGCCTTCACTTCCTGCTGCCTTCACTTCCTGCTGCCTTCACTTCCTGCTGCCTTCACTTCCTGCTCAGATGCTCCCTAATCCTGCAGGGTCTTCTGCAGTCACTGAGGTCAAAGGTCGTCTGATGAATCCTGGTTAATCAGCTGGTTCCAGGCGGAGTCGTCCTCGTGGCGTTTTGATGTCACAGACTGGGAGCTACGGCCGATAAGCCGGTGGTCGCCAGGTGTCGGCGGGTCATCAGAGCCGGCCGTATCGGTCGGCCTCTATATCTGGAAAAACGTAAAACATTTCTGTTGGACGAACCGTTGGCTTGTAGCTTTGGCTCGGCTTGCAGGTGGCGTTTGACCTCAGACAGATAACGGCCTGATTACAGCTGAACGGCTTGTTCTTCTGGGACAACGGCAGAGGTTTGAGGTTTTTCAGAAACAAAGCTACTTTTCCAGGGACAGCGGTGTTGTTGGAATCCAACAGTTTGAACAGAAACGTGAGCGAGCTGATAGGCTAACAGGTGCAGCGGGGCGGAGCGAGCTGATAGGCTAACAGGTGCAGCGGGGCGGAGCGAGCTGATAGGCTAACAGGTGCAGCTTTAGCAGGATCTCAGCTCTTCTCCATGCTGGTGTGTGCAGTCATCTGCATATTCATTTCTGTCACTAGTGAGAAATCTTCATCACTTAGATGTGCTTAAAAATGCAAAACATGTTGAATTATTGATGCGTAAACCTGGAATCAATTATCTTCAGTGTTTCTTCAGGACCTGCTGGCGGACATCTGACCCCTTGCTTGTTATTCTGGTGACACTTTGAGAGCTAAGAGCAGTGGCTCCAAGGAGAGACATTTTCAATCACCCTTCACCAGAACCACTTCAATCTGTTGAAGGTCAGTTTTCCGTCCATCAGCAGGCCCAAGAATGAAAAATCTGTTTGTTTTTAATGGTCATTAAATGCATCAACACTAAAAACTCTGTGAACACACCAACAGTTCTCAGTTAGGGAATGAAAACAGGAATAGTCTAGAACATTCTTTGGGTTTTTGGATCCCAAACTCCTGCTTCCATCCAGGAACCTTGATGGTCAACGTCTGCAGAGTTTGGAGACGTTTACCATAATCAGCAGCTCCGCCGTCACTGAAGGTCAAACCATAACACCGCCACCACCGTGCTGACCAGACGAGCCTCTCCTCTTTGTTTGTCTTCGTCTCGTCTGACCAGAAAATCTGCCAGAATCCTGCAGCTTCTTGTGAGGATCAGGAACTGGAGTCAGGCCGACTCGAGAACAACTATCAGCTAACAGTGGTGAGCACTGCTAGCTAAAAAGCTAGCTATGCTAAACCTAAAGTGCTAACCATAAAGATCAGTTCTGCTAACGCCAAAGCACCACTGTAACATGGGATTTACCAGAAGCTAATGCTAAAAAATTTTCTGACATGATATTTAGTGAAACCTTAAGCTAAGGTGCTACTCTAAGATGATATGCAGCTAAATCTGATGCTGTCGCTCCACAACAACATGGTATTTACCAGAAGCTAATGCTATTGATCTCAGAAGATTAAAGTTATGAATTTATGGCCCCAATCCAGTTCCTTAGGCTGGGTCATGCATTTCCTGCTGTGTTTGCATCTCATTCAGAATGCACCGACCCAGGTGTCTGGGGGGTAATTAGAGCGGGGCGGTCTGCTGTTGTCGGGGCAGTTAAACGGCTGCAGACGGGGCAGATTAATTCCCCCGCCCCTCTTTGTGTGACGAAGCCCAGAGTCAGTTCCTGTGTCATTGTTGGGCTCCATCTGCGCCACACACAGCGGCAGCAGCAATTAAACCTGGTTGACACACTTCAGGGTCCGGCACGAACCATCTGGGAGAAAACGCAATACAGCAGCTTTAAACACATTCACTCTTCCTCCTCCTCTTCCTCTGCTGTCCTCAGACAGACGGACCAGGAGGCTTTTGTTCAACCTGAAGTGGGACGCCACAGACGCTCTGAGCAGCTGTAATTACTGATGCCAGCTGATATTTTATTGATATTGTGCCATCAGCTGCAGATTACCATGTGGGGGCGTCTGGGCCTGGGTCCTGTTGTTCTCCACCAACTGGGTCCAGTTCCTGTTCTAACAGATGAAAGAAATAGATGTTGGTTTGGATTTTTCTGCAAAATTAGATTATTTTTCAAGAAAATATCCTTTAATTTCTCTCTTTAATGTTTTTAGCCATTTGTGAAGCACACAGAGAACTCATTTTAACCTGATATGCTTCCTTTTAGTTCTGTATTCTGATTCACACGGAAATGTAACCGTTTGAAGCGCAGCAACGAAGCAGCGCCATGCACGTCGACATGTGGTAAACTGCTGATCTGAATTAGGGATGGACTCATCAGGATTTGCTACATTTGTGTCCTTGATAGCATTCCAAGTTATTTAATGATCGAGGTCCAATTCTTCATACATGTAGTAAAATCAACCCCCTCAGATTTTTTTTTGTTTTGTCATACCAAAATGTTTCTGATCAACAAACTCTGGCTGTGTTCAGCAGGACTCAAACTAAATCAATCAATCAATCAATCAAATTGTATTTGTCTAGCACATTTCAGCAGCAAGGAATTTCAAGGTGCTTTACATAATTAAAAAACAAAATAAAAACAGCATGTCATGGCAGCCTGAACAGCCCGACTCCGATGTTTTCACTCAAAAATAAATCAAATTGGTGCCACTTCTATATGTAGAACTAAATCACATCCAATCATTTTCCAAGCATCTGAACCAGGTTACATTTTGTCCATCATTGACGGGAGACATGCATCATAATTCTGCAGCAGAAGACATCAGACGGTAAATCTGGACGTAAACAATGGCTGAAAATGATTATGTCGAAGTGATGAAAGCAGCCTGAGTCAGTGAACACATCACATCCCAACCCCACCACTCCCACTCCACATCCAAACAGACTTTTGTATTTTCAGCAGCTATGTTAGCCTAGCATTAGCATGTTCCTTCTCTGTTTTGATGCGACTTGTTGCCATTCTGCTGTAGATTAGCTGCTGCTAACCTGCTAACTGAGGCCGATAGAGTTTAGGATGGACTCCTAGACTCCATCCTAGGAGTCTTGGAGCTCTTGAGGGGTTCTGGTCATTTTTGAATTTCATCCTCTGCACTTGGGCTGAATCTGCTGGGATATTTACTCATGTTAAGATTGGCTCTACCTGAGATGTTTTCCTCTTGGGAATAAACTTTCTCTTTGTAAATTAATAGACTCCACAGTTTGGAAATAACCTAACACCAGAAGTGTTTTAATTTCTCTCTGGAAAACCACAGTTAAACTGATTCATCATGATCCACCAATAGATATATTTCTGAGGAGAACTGGAGGTTAACGACTGAAGCCATTCTCCTCCTGAGCCTGCAGCTCTGAGCATGCGCGCAGTGGCTGGTATGTCAGGAGGCGGGAAGATACGGGGTTTCCCACTCTGATTTGTAAACTAGGGGTGATGGATTGATTTTAAAAACACTTCTGCAACTAAGACTTCAATTTTATGGACAAATGAATTCACAACTTCAGTTCTCATTCCTTTTAAAGTCTTAAAATAATAGAATTTATTGGCTGCAATCTTTTTTCAGCAAGATTCTATGTTTAAAATACCCCGTCCATCCCGTAGTGTTCCTCGGTGGAGTGGTACGGTCCGGCCGGTGTCTGACTCCGCCAGGCCAGCCTCCATTGCTCACTACTCGTCTAAAAATGGAGCCGATAGGACGGAGGTTTGTGTGGAGGAGACGGAAAGGAGACCGCTGATAGACTTGGAGCTAACGGCCCGATTTCAGTTTGTGCTTTAATGGAGCGGACTTTTGTTCAGGCATAGTGGGCCTCCATGAACAGCCCCAAGCTGTTAGCATGTGTGAGAAAACAGCCGAAGCCCGGAGCTTGCTTTTCGCTTTTTATCTATTTATTTTACTCTGAAGCAGGCATTCAGACTGACGACTTGCAGGTTTATAGATCGACTAACTTATACTTTAAACAGATTTTATTATAATTATACACGTCGGTTTGTTATTTTCGGCCGTTTTCACCCTTCCTGTTGAAAGCGATGTACAACACGGTGTTGACGGCAGAGAAAGACGGAGACTGGCGGGACGTGATGATGCCCTATTCCACCGAGCTGATCTTCTACCTGGAGATGGATCAGCCTCCAGGTAGGCGGGGGTACCGGGAGGGACGAGACACGGGAGCGGGCCATCTGGCTGTAGGGGGCGAGGTGGTGTTGTGTTCTGTTTGGTTCCCCCTGGAATCAGTGGAAGGTTTTAACAGCTTCGTCCCGGTGGACTCCATTAATGCTGGAGGTAGCTTCTGAATCAGGGATTTTTAAAGGAATATTACACACATTTTAAGTGCTTTATTTCAGATTAAGAAACTTGGAGTGAATTTATATAAACTGACCATTATGTCAGAGCTTTTTTTTTTTAAAAAACGACTTAAACTACGTTAGCTGCCCAAAATCCCAAACTTTATTGAATAATCTGTAAACCAGCCCAGGTTTGTCTAAAGACTGAATTCTTGAACATCCGAGGTAAAGGAAATGGTAAAACATAGTTTTTACCTGAACTTTCCCCAATAGCCTGCAGGTTTCACCAGTGGAAAAAACCCATGTTTAGTGGAAGAATGTTGTCATTTTTACCTGAATTAAGGTGGTAGAGAGGCCCAAGATGCTTTAAAATCCTAATTTTTATTCTTATTAGATTCACAGATAAAAGCTATATGGTTTCCAGACCATAAATATTGAGTTTGTTTGCAATTTCTGACTGTTTGGATGTTTCCTCTGCCTGATCTTTGTCTGTTCAGACACATATTACATAAATTACAGCAGCAGATCTGCTTCTCTTTGTTAAAGCGACAGATTGTTTCCCTGCAGACTGATTCTGGGTTTCTAACACAAACCGTCTGTTATTAGCTGCTAGCAGCTCTTCAACAGGACTTTATGCAGTAATCTTTAATATTTGGATGATGTTTGATTGGAGGTGAAATAGTTCAGCGTTTCCTGTGAATCAGCAGCTTCAGTTCTTTATTTCTGGATCTTTCTGAGCTCAGCGCTGCGTTCAGGGGGGATGGGGATTCAGACGGAGTAAAACCCGGATGAAATCCTCCGTCCGTGTTCCGATCTGAGTCACCACGGACCCGCTGAGGCCCGGGGAGAACCGAGTCGGGTTCCTGGACCTTTGAGCTGCAGGTTGATGATCATCCTGATGCTGCAGGAAAACGACTCGGCTGAGTTTCTGCAGCGTTTTGTTGCTCCTCATCTTCTCTGGTTCTGGTTGGTTGGTTTGATGGTTTTGAGACAGAACCTCTGCGATCGGGTCGGAGGAGGACGTGATGCTGCTCAGCTCTGTTTGGACCTCTGAGGCCTGGTTAGAGGAGCCGAAGCATTTCTGCTGCATTCCTTCAATCAGCTCATCAAACCTCCATCAGCTGCAAATATCACAACAAACCCAGTCAGTAGACGGGTTTGGCTCCAGGTCCGGTTCTGATCCAGGTCCGGACCGGTCCGGTTCTGCTCCCACCTGTTGGGTCTCGTCCAGCTCCTCCTCCATCCTTTCTTCCTCCTCAGAGCCCCGCCCCCTCCTGCCAGGCTGCGTACTGATTGGCTGAGGCTTTGGGTTTAGGAGCGGGCCGGCCCGGTCCGTTCCTCGGTCCGACAGAGTGTCGAGGAGGAGCAGCTGAGGTCCGGTTGCTCGGCAACATGCAGCTGATGGACGGCACCGTGCAGGACGGTAGGACTCGGACCTTCATTCCTCCAGCGGCTCTGGTTCTGGTCCAGTGTCACATGACCCCGATTCTTTCAGAACTTCATGTGTTTCTGGGCTCAGGACAGTTTGAAGCTTCAATCCAGCAGAACCAGGTCCAGTTCCTCCAGCTGCTGCAGAACCACCAAGGTTCTGATTGCTCTGACCCGTTAGTCTGATCAGCTGCAGCCTGAACTGAACTGGTTCTGGTTCTGATCAGCTGTTCTGCTGGGTCCGACTCCTTTTAGTGGACCCTGTCTCTCAGTGTGTGTGTCTCGGTGTGTATTGTGCTCCTTTGTCTGCCGCCTGTCGGCCCCTTTGTTCCCTCGGCTCGGTGTGGTCCGGTTGGAAAGCAGTTCCAGCTCCTCAGTGGTTCTTTGTTGGGGCGGTTCTGGTCTGGATGCAGGATGATCTGGTTCTGGTTCTGGACCTGATCTAACAGAAACATGGGTTCAGTTTCTGGTTCATCTGTTTTCTGCTCCTGATCAAACCTCAGATCAGTTAGTTTAGAGACCTGCACTTTATTCAACTCTAATTACTGTGTGTGTGTGTGTGTGTGTGTGTGTTTATATCAATGTGTGTGTGTGGTGTGTGTGTGTTTATATCCATCTGTGTGTGTGTGTGTGTTTATATCTATCTATGTGTGTGTGTGTGTGAGCCACGTGTTCCTGACTGCAGAAAACTTTAAACCCGTTAGAGTTTAAATGGGAAGCTGAGCTGCAGCTTCCTGGTTTCACCTGCAGCTGCTGCAGGAGATGCAGGACCAGAAGCTGCAGCAGCTGGTGATGCAGCGGCGGCTGCGTCTTACTTTGTGACTGAACTATTGTTTGTGGAAGAGACAAAATGTTCCAGCAGCTGCAGCCAATCGGCGCTCCATCAGAGCAGCAGGACGGATCCTCCAGTCAGCGAGCTTCACCTCATTCATTCATTCATTCATCCATTCATTCATTCATTCTTTCACTCCAGGTTTGTTTTCCTCTGAAGTTTACAAGCTGCTGATTTTCCTGAAACATTTTCATTCTTCAGGTTTTTTTAACTCGTCAGATTTTCTGTCGGCTGCAGACAAAGAAACTGTTTATAACTGAGCAGGAAAAGGAAATATTTATATTTTATTATTTATTAAAGCTTCAGCCAGTGAGGTCACCTGCTCTTTGGTAAACGAGTACACATACATAGATGGATATAAACACACACACAATAAAAAATAATAATTTTAGGAATCGGTTATTCAGATAGTTTTCCCACGAGGCACGGTGGGAAAACCTGAAACTGCTGCTGCGCCAGTTACTCAACAGGCTGTTGCTAGGCAACCGGTGGGGCTTGGAGATGCACAACAAACCAGAAACAAGAAATAAAATAAATCATGAAATTTCTGTGAACAAAATTAACTTTCAAAATCAGGTTCAGTTGAGACCAAAGCAGCAGAATGAAACTTTTATCATCTAGTTTTTGGTAGAAAGAAAAAACAATAAATCATGCAAATAGAAGTTAGAGTGTTTTAATTTATTATGCGATTAATTGATTTATTTATCAGATCATTTGAGTTGTTTCTATAAGTTGATATATTGATTATTGCACCATATTGAAGGCAGATGGAATCAAAATCATCTCCTGGGATAACACTGTACTGTCATCAAAGCAAATCAATGTAGGACATTGTGATGAAGTTGCTGATTTCCTCCCATGTTGCTCCCAGCTGTCTAATCACTCTCTCTCTCTCTCTCTCTCTCTCTCTCTCTCTCTCTCTCTCTCTCTCTCAGCTCTTCCTCCAAAGCCAGTCAAACCCCAGCCGCCGCCATCGTCGTCGTCTTCTTCCGGGATCAGAGGTGACGATGGCGACTCGCTGCAGGAAGCAGAGTGGTACTGGGGAGACATTTCCAGGTAGATCCGCCTCAGCACTCGCCTCTGGAACAATGTTCTGGTTTCTCTCAGCTCTTTGAACCATGGGAACAAAATGATCTTCTTTAATCTGCTGCTACTGATGGTTGCTATGACGATTTCAGCATCAGGCCTCCACTTATGACATGGAAAAATGTACTGGTGGAATTGGTACTATTTTTATAATTATTTACTAATTATGGATTTAAAACAATCCCCCATTTCTTGCAGAAAACTTACTTTTAAATTAGTGTAGTCTTATTTTCAGTTTACCAAGATATTTGCACTATAAACTAGATAGAAATACTTGGTAGGGTTTTGTGTTTTTTGTAGTGCACAGCACAAGTTCCCAAACTTTTCAACCTGTGACCCCAAAATGACAGCACCACAACCTGGCGCCCCCTATTGGCAACCTGGCAACTGCTTAAAAAATGCATAAAATTATTTCTCTTTTTAAAAATATATAGAATTATACCGTGTTTCCCCGATAGTAAGACATCCCCGATTGTAAGAGGTATCGGGGGTTTCAGGGGGGTTGGCTAATATAAGCCGTACCCCGAAAGTAAGACATATGTCTTACTGTTCGGGGAAACACCTCTCATCTAGCTGCGCGCCGCCTCCTGCCCACGCCTGCGCCGTCCCCTGCACTTGTCACTACCACCTCCTGCTTAAATTAATTTAATTTTATGGTTAAAACAAAAAATTCGACAATTTTTTTCCAATATAAGACATACCCCGAAAGTAAGACATAGTGGGGCTTTTGGGGATAAAAAGTAAGTAAGACACTGTCTTACTTTTGGGGAAACATGGTATGTATTTTTGATTAATTTATTGGATAAAGTGATTAATTATATATAATTGCAGAGTTTCCCCCTGTGTATTATGAGCCTGGCAGCCCACCAAGCTTAACTAGCGCCCCGCCAGACTAAACGTTCCTTGTTTTGTGTTTTCAGAAAAATTAATAATTGAAAGAAAAAAATAGCTTCTAATTCAATTTTATTTATTTTTAATTCAAGCCGAATTGCAAGCGTCTTTGTTGCTCTCAGCGTCTTATTGGCGGAGAAGATTTATTTGTAAAAGATAAGTTTATAGTTATAGAGCAGACCAATCACAGCGCTGGGCAGCGTGTTGAGATGGAAACGCTGCATAATTCTTTGTTCACAAATATAAATCATCCTCAACTCTCCTCTGAAGGCGACTGCAAGTTATTCCTGCGGTTCACATAGAGCTGCACAACCAGAGCTGACATGGCGGGTTTAGACTCCTGCCTCAATGCAGAGTTCTGGAAAGAAACACAATTCCTCACAGGAGGTTGATGTAAATAACCCGTCAGCCTGTGTCCAGTTTGAGTGAAAGGAGGCGAGCGTGATCCACGCTGAGGTAAACTGTAGAGATCAAGCAGCAGCGCGAGGAGCTGTGTGATCAGTCTGCTCTCCTGGCTTTAAATGCATGAACTATAAACTTCTAATTTAGGAATAAGTTTGCACTGCCAGTGAAACATTCAGAGCAACAAAGATGCTTTCAATCCAGATTAAATGCCAAAAAAAAAAAAAACTTTTTTCTTTAATTATGTCCCTAAAAACATAAACAAGCAGCGCTCAGCCTGGTGGGGGGGCTAGTAAAGCATGGCGGGCAGCCAGGCTTATACTGGCATATTTGTGTATTTGTTTAATTTTGTCCCTCTTGGTGCTCCGTACACCTCAGGGATCCCGGCAGTAGATTCATCATGTGTCTGCTGATGTCTCAGAACATCCCATAATAATCACAACAGGCATCCAATAATCCAACTATTCATGGCTAATAATATTCATTATGTTGGAGTTCATTAATGAAGCCCAACTGATTCTGTTCATAATTAATTATTAAAAATAAGTGGTTAAATCTGGGATGAATATTTAATTCAGAAACTTTATAAAATTTTAAATAATAAAATTGTTCTTGTCTGGTTCTGATTAATACTTAATTCAGTTTAAAACAACGAAACAATCCTAGTTTTAACCTGATTTCACTTGTAATCACATTAAATTATTTTGATTTTAAATTAAAATAGTTTTATTTCAGATTAATATCAACATAAGAATCATCAGAAATAAACTAGAGTAAC